TTCCCTGCCCTGAATGGGGTTACACTCCCCCTAAGGGACAGGGTCCGCAGCCTGGGGGTGCTCCTGGACCCCAGTCTAACTCTGGAAGCCCAGGTGGACTCCGTGGCCAGAGGCGCCTTCTTTCAGCTGCGGAAATTACACCAGCTACGGCCCTACCTGGAAAAGCGGAATCTCAAGACAGTTACACACACACTGGTAACATCTTGTATAGATTATTGCAATGCACTCTACGTGGGGCTGCCTTTGAAGACGGTCCGGCGACTGCAACTGGTCCAGAATCGAGCTGCGCGGCTGGTGAGTGGTGGGGCCGCTAGAGAGCACATCAAGCTGATTCTGTATAAGTTACATTGGTTACCAGTTGCTGCCCGGGCCCAATTCTGACCTATAATGCCCTAAACGGTTTGGGCCATGGATACTTGAAGGACCGCCTCCTTCCATATGAGCCTACCCGGCAGTTAAGATCTAGCCGGGGGCCCTTTTGAAAGAGCCATCCGTCAAGGAGGCAAGAGGGATGGCTTGTAGACAAAGGGCCTTCTTGGCAGCTGCCCCCAGACTATGGAATGCCCTCCCAACTGAAATTCGTCTGGCGCCAACGTTGATGACATTTCGGCGCCAGGTCAAAACCTTCCTGTTCCAGAAGGCTTTTAATTGAAATAACATCAACTGTGGGTCCTGATGGCAATTTTAATTGTATTTTAATTGTATTTTAATCATTTTATCTTTTACTGTATTGAATTTTAATTGTTGTAAGCTGCCCAGAGACCTCTGGGTAGAGTGGCCAGCATATTAAAGAAAGAAAGAAAGAAAGAAAGAAAGAAAGAAAGAAAGATGGTCGCCCCCCTTCTGTTTCGTTCAGAATTTCATTGAAAAAAATGGAAAACAATACCTCACATAATTCATTTGTTATTTCCTTGTTTTCCGCTGGAAATGTAAATAGTGATGCTGACTGTAAAACAGTATAAAGTTTGATATTTTGGAACTAATTTTAAAGTTCAAAATGAATTGTATCCAACTTTGTCCTTCGTTCATAAAAGACTCTTGGTCCATTGAGAAGTTTGTAAGGAATCCTGCATGAACTCCCATGCTGCTCCTGAGGGACTCTGGCAGTCTGGACTAGATGTGGAGATGAATCTAGAGGTTGAATGAGGGATTTGCAAAAATTGCCTCTTAATTTCCCTCCCCCACATGCATCATCCTGCTAGATCACTGTTTTATCAGTGGAGGGTTACAATTTTTACTGGGTCTTGTTCAATGTCAAAATCAGAACAGTTAGCACCTCCAGCAAACAAAACAAGTAAAGAAAATAGGTATAAATATTAAAATATCAAGGAAAGTGTAATCATTCTCTACATGTTAACTTGAAGCAAATCTTACAGGGATTCTTAGATAGGTAAATGCAACAGTGCAGCCTGATCTCTGCTTAGGAAATTAAGTTCACTAACTTCCAGTTAAGCCAGACATCCTGTTGATTCACCCATGACAGCAAAAGGCTGTCATAGAAAGTGCAGATATAGAAAGTGTGCTTCCTTAGGGAGAGGATTCTAGAAGCTAGATGCAACTGCTGAAAGGGCATTTGCTCATCCCACACAGACACATACTTCGAACACACAAGCGAGTCTGTTACTTTTACTATATAGACAGCTTACAATAATTCATCACCACATGCTTCATGACTATGAGAAGGCCCAAACAAATATTTTAGATTCTCCACAGAAGATGTTTTAGTGATTAATTGCTGTGCTGCTTGTAACTTGAAAAAACCAAAAGCAGAGTCTTAGCCTTCCTGTTGACACCGAACATGAATTTTGTTCTCGTAGTAAGTAAAGGTTTTCCATTTGGTGAACACATTTTTTCCAGTTTCGACGTGAAGAAGATGCAGAAAAAGCTGTGATGGACCTGAACAACCGGTGGTTTAATGGGCAGCCAATCCATGCTGAGCTCTCCCCTGTGACAGATTTCAGAGAAGCTTGCTGCCGCCAATATGAAATGGGGTAATGTCTGCTATGCAAATAGTTTTAGAGGTGGCTTAGAAATACTTTTATATGATAATAAATGCTTTGTGGCAGCAAGTCTTCTTAATCATAACCTGCTTAATTCCATTTTTCCAGAGAGTGTACACGAGGAGGTTTCTGTAACTTTATGCATTTGAAACCTATATCTCGAGAATTGCGACGTGAGTTGTACGGTCGCCGCCGCAAGAAGTAAGTGTCTGTTATGTGAAAACCTTTACCCTGTTTCCCCCAAAATAAGACATAACCTGAAAATAAACCCTAGTATTATTTTTCAGGATGCTCATAATATAAGCCCTATCCCCAAAATAAGCCCCAGTTAAGGGAAACGCCGGCCTCCACCATTGTGCAGCAGCCAGAAGAAGATGACATGACTATATTTGAATAAATGTAGATTGTTGTACATGAAAAAAGTAAAACATCCCCTGAAAATAAGCCCTAATGCGTTTCCTGGAACAAACATTAATATAAGACCCTGTCTTATTTTTGGGGAAACATGGTAGGAGCTTTTAAAAAAAAACCCTTCTCTATATTTCTCCACAAAGAGAGAACTCACAGGGAGGATAGCTTGAGCTGGGTAGCGTTCAGGGTTGCAGAATCCACTTGTATTTTACTAGAACTCCCAAGTTCAGACTCCAATGCAAAGTAGTGGCTTAGGTAAGGAGACATATGGTAAGAATTGAAGCACAGGTGGTCACTGTCTCAGCTTAGGATTTGGTGATCGGCATTAGAACCAAGCTCACTAGTCTTTTGAACCGCAAAATATCATGGATTTTTCCCAAATGTTATTTTTCGGCAATTCTGTTTTGAGGGAAATATGTTTTTTCTCCCTGTTTTAGTTTTTAGACAGGTGAGAAATCCTAATCAGTATGGGTGGGTATAATTCTTCTCGGGAGCCTTTTGCCTCTTTCAGAAATCCTGTTGCCATCCTTGCTCAGAGGTGATCTCCAGTATTTTGACTGTGCTAGTACAACTAATTAGAACTTCATTTGGCCAGTGGTGCCTGTTGTTCTCCTATAGCATTTGTGTGACTATGAGCAGAATAGAACATTGTTTATAATATTTTTGCTAACTCAATATTGAATATGGTCTTACCATTGGTACTTTGTGATCAGTTTTCCTGGGCACTTTATCCATTTTTGGAGGCTTTTTGATTGCAGCATTTTCAAGGTCTAAGGTTTATGCTATCTTCTCATCAGTCCTAAGGGCCCCACAAAAGCAATGGAAATCAAAGCAAGTAATGTAACAAGTTGGTTGTTACGGGTTTTTTGGGCTAGTTACTTTTCAAACATTGCAGTAAGTATAATGATAATGGTTGTTTGAATAGTATAACAAATTGTAGAAGCAGATTACTTTCAAAAATAATTTTACAGTCTCTTGTATTTAATTATACAATGACGTTCCTTTGAAATCAACATATCCTCCTTCCAAAAATATGACAAGGCTTAAAGTATTTATCTTACACCTCGCATTTCTTGTTGCAGCCCTAAGCCATTTGGAACAAAGATGTCATCAGTGAAGAATTAGTCATCCTTTTAAAAAGAGGGGTAGACAAAATCCAGAGATCCAGGGCCCAATATAAAACATTCTCAGGGGGGAAAAAATCAAAACAGGAAGTGGCTGGATAACCAGTTTGGAGACAGGGTGATACAGAAAAAAACACTATTCTTGGAGGGTTTTAGGATTGGAAAATTAGTTCCAGGGGACAGTTTCTTCTCATAGAGAATGCGAGGGATGGTTTCTGAAAGCTGGTGAACCTCACATTACCAACCTTCTAAAGGGAGGACTTGTTGCTTTAAATCTGGGATAGAACAGTGACATTGACCATTTATGTGTCTAGCTATTGGGAACAGTTTTCAGTGTATTTATTTTGGTTTTCTTCTAGGCATAGATCCAGGTCAAGATCCCGTGAGCGTCGCTCTAGATCAAGAGATCGTGGTCGTGGAGGAGGAGGTGGTGGTGGTGGTGGTGGAGGAGGAGGCCGAGAGCGTGACAGAAGGCGGTCAAGAGATCGTGAAAGATCTGGACGATTCTGAGCCGTGTCATTTCTATCTTGTCTATTAGAAAGTGTTGTAGTTGATTGACCAAACAAGTTCATAATGAAAATTTTTTTTAAAGATGGGCTTCTGAATAAAAATTTGTAGTGATACAGTTTTCTTTGCGTAACTGATTTCTTATGGATAAATATCATTTCTCTGACCTTAAGGAATGACTGGGGTTACAGTTGCAATGTACTGCGGATGAGCTGGTTTTTATATTTAGAAGTGAATGAAACTAAGTGTATATAATATTTTAATATTATATACATTAAAATGTGCTTAAGCTGTTACATGTTTAAATTTCCCTTTTCTGTTATCTTGTCTGCTTAATTAGGGTAGCTTAGGCACATTTAAAGGAAAGCTGTGCAAGGAGCATCTCTTTACTCAGTCAAAAATACTTAGTTGCATAATTCTGTATGTTTCTTTGTTAACTAAAAAAATTGTGCTCTGTGAATGTGGCATTTACAATAAATCAAATTTTTGACTTAAAAATTTAAAGCCTATTCTCTAAAGCACTCCTGAGTAGCTGGTACTACCATCTATCTGTGCCAGATGTGTTTTCCCCATGTGGAAGTCTTTTACTTTGCTTTGAAGAAACTGTCACAGAAGACTAAAGAGGGGTGGTGTATATTCATAATAAATTAGAAAGCTATTTTAAGGCACAGTTTGGTTTGAAAAATGCTGATGGAAAAAGTTTTACTGAAGCAAATTTAGTCTGCAGGAACGCAACATGGCCTCATATTTAGGCCTTAGAAACAATGCTGAGAGTTGATAATGTTTAGTCATTTTGTTTGTGACAGGATTCTAGAACCACAGTGCCCAGAGCCGTGACTCTAATTGGTCTTCCCACATTTTCTGGTTTCTTGTATTCCTGCCTTAACTCGACCACAAACTCTTTTCCAGAAATTATGTTGGCCAAAATCCTGTTTTGTAAGTTTCCAGAAGAGTGATGATGTTACCAGCAGGTGGAGTTTAAGTAAATTGCAGTTTGGGAGTAATCCATCTCACTGTATAGAAGTTATAGGAGCCTTGGGATTGAAGGAGGATATTTTTAATTACCAAAAATTTCTATTGCCAGATGTGGTTAACAGCAGAAAGAGATTTGCAATACTAAAGGCTTTTGTCTGTTCTGCAACTTCCACCCAACAGCTGAAATCCAGTAGTACCTTGCAACTAGAATAGGTCTTAAATTAGTGGAACTAATGAAGAAGTTGACTCACCAAATCCTCATTGGTTCAGTAATCCTGGTCTACTTGTAATTTACTACTGGATTTCATCCAATAAAATTGATTACTTGCATGTTAGACAAACAGAAGGTGTGTTTAATTACTGAAAGTCTTCCCCTACCAAGCATAACTTGCACAACAGGATTTGACCATTGAGTCATTACTTCCTCCTTCATCAGTTTTCATTCCAACCAGCTGGCTTAAGGCACTTCATATTAAATGACTTTTCTTCCTTACAAGCCTTTTGGGAGACATCTCTACTTTCTGTAGGAAATTGCTATTCATTTTCGTGGAACTAGGGTCGTTTAATGTTAGAGAAACAATTTCAATAATTGCTTGCATCCAGTTAGTGCCAAATTCTTAGCTGATAATATCAGTTCTCAAAAATGTGAACTGTTACAAACTGAACTTCTGATAGCTTTAAGTAGAGCTGATTTCAAAAGGCTGTAGACGTAATGGATTTAAAGATTGCAGTTAGCTGATATTTATCTCTACAGTTAACTATTATATTTATTTATCTCTGCCGTATGCCTTACTTAGTTAGCTTTAATTGATTTTGTTTATTTCTGGAAGAGCAATGGAATGTTCTGATATATAATTACCAGCTGGGAAAACTAATCAGGAGGAATGGGTAAGGTTAAAGGGCCTTCTGTGTTCATCCTGTGTAAGTTCTTATGAATATTGCTGTTTCTTTAGTACTAGCAGCAAGGACACAAGAGCCTGCTGTTGCTATACAGCTGTTAACTAAACAGGACCATGGGTAGACATGGGTAGGACACTCACTGGGTGTGCAGAGAGCAGCCAGGGAATGTGTGCATTGAGCTAATTTAAAGTTGTAAGTTTTAGTATCTTAATAAAGAGTAGTTAAAAAGTTGAGCTTTAATGTCCTAATAGCAGAGCTTGATACTTTAGACAGCAAATATACATGGCTAGTAAGTGCTCTTTGCTAGCTGCTGAGTTTTCCAAATTCATACCCATTAGACCTGAGAGCTTACTACAGTGTACACAAAGCAGTTCAGTAACTAGAAGCATAGCCAAATTTTGCGCCCTTGAGAACTAGCTAAAATTTAATTTACATCTTTATAGCATAATAATTTAACTCCTTAATGAAATGGAGAGGAGTATTATCTCCTTAGTAAATCAAATGCTTGGGAATAATCAGAGGTTCTATTCCTGGCCTCTAGGTATGGCTGATAAAGGTAACAATTGAAACCATTTGGAAGCATAATGAGTAAGAGCAGTAGGTGAGACATTACGCAAGTAGATGAACTGGTCTGATCTGGTACAAAGTGGCTTCCTTTGTTTCTATCTCTTTTTCTGTTTAGGAAAAAACCCAGAATCTTTCAAATCTGTCACTAGGGTCCTGGTTTAATAAATTGGTCAAGTGATAGGTAAGCATTGGTCCTTATAGTTGCTGAGTTTTTTATTTCATCTAGGAAGGGAATATTTTTAAGAGCAGGAAGACATTTGTGGAAGATTATTAAATAACTTGTTACATTCATCAGGTCCAATAAACTGAAATCCCATTCCGTCTCAAATTTTAAGCCCCAAAGGTAGGCATGGGTTTGTAAAGAAGCCTACATTTGAGAACATAATTGGCTGCAAGTGCAAAATGCTTTTTAACTGTACAATTTTATTAATGACATTTTTATCCTGGCTAAAACAAAGTCAAGGTGATGAACATGGCTCTCCTAACCTCCCCTTGATTCTTAACAACAGCCATGTGAGGTATGTCAGGCTGAGAGAAAGTTGCCCTAGGGACTTCCATGGCTCAATGGAGACTTTAACCTCCATCTTTGGATGTCACTGATTTGATCTGAGGCAGCCCTTTCCCAGGAAATCAACCTTGAGTGCTCACTGGAAGGACAGATCCTGAAGCTGAGGCTTCAATACAGCTTTGTTGTACTCCTTTGTTGTACTCCACATACTGTTGAAGCCTACCTTGTAGGATTTTGAGCATAACCTTGCTAGCATGTGAAATGAGTGCAATTGTACGGTAGTTGGAGCATTCTTTGGTACTTCCCTTCTTTGGGATTGGTATGTAGACTGATATTTTCCAATCCTCTGGCCACTGCTGAGTTTTCCATTGATGATGATAAAAAAGCACACTGGTCCTTTGATATTGGGCTGTGGCACCAGGGTGGGTGAAATGACCTTTAGCCTGGTTTGTTCCTTTTTGCACACCACACATAGAATGATTAAAGTGGTAGGGAATCCCCCCCCCATTCTGCATTGCCTGTTCTAGCAAGCATGTCATTGCTAGAACCACTCTGGCAGCCACCTCTGCGAGCTAGCAAAAATTCAATGCAAATTGCTAAGCACGTTGGACATCTTACTACTCCCTATACCACACCATGGCTGGAGTGCAATGTGTTCCAGCAAAAATAGTGCACATCTTTATCAAATTTGGTGCATCCTGCTAGTTCAGTACACAGCCTGTGTAGATTCAATAATATTTTCAATTCAAATTATGATTTCTTTCCGAATCAAGGGGGTAATGTCGGCGTATATAATTTTTTTGCGGGTAAAAGGTAAAAAAGTTCACTGACCCCTGCTGTATAGTATCCCCATATAAAAAGTGTGCTGCTTATATACTGCTCCATAGCACTTAAAGCACTCCCTGGGCACTTTACATCTTAATTATGCAGAATACACATCCTACCCCCCAAGCTGGGTACTGAATCAATCAAGGGGGTAATGTCGGCGTATATAATTTTTTTGCGGGTAAAAGGTAAAAAAGTTCACTGACCCCTGCTGTATAGTATCCCCATATAAAAAGTGTGCTGCTTATATACTGCTCCATAGCACTTAAAGCACTCCCTGGGCACTTTACATCTTAATTATGCAGAATACACATCCTACCCCCCAAGCTGGGTACTGAATCATTCGACCTTGGAAGGCTAGATGCCAGAGTGACCCTCAAGCTGGCTACTTGGGATCGAACCCTGGCCATGAGCAGAGTTTTGGCTGCAGGACTGCAGTTTAACTACCGCACCATGAGGCTCCTTTCCCTTCAATGCAAAGAGAAAAGGAGAAACAAGTAGTGAAAGACCTGGCCTCTGGCTTCTTGTGTTGACAATCTGCAGTGGTAACAATGCAGGACTGTGTGGCCTGCCCAAGACATCCTGCAGCCTGAAGCAGAACAACCGCTGCTTCACTCATATTCAAATCGATTCAGCGACAAAGCCCTGGATTTGTGCAGGATCTGCTCCAGCTATTCCCACTCCGACCACAGCCATCAAGAAGCCACCAAGAGAAGGCAGGAAACCGAGGCTGCGCACAAAATAACTCGTTCCTTATCGCCCTTCCTCGAGTTTAAACGCAGGACAGGGAAGCGAATCTGCGGCCGCGGGGCAAGACTGAGACGCTGCCTCCTCATTGGCCGCCTGCCCCCCTCCCAACGCCCCCGGCGCAGCCAATCAGCGCCGGCTCTTTTCCCCAAACGGTACACACGCGAGGACCCGGTGGCGGCGCCAGGCTGCGCTTCGCGTCTCTTCGCAGGGAAGGAGGGAGGGAGGCTGAGCCATCCTTTCCTTCTCGTCCGGCGACCGAGTAAGAGCAAGGAACGGAGGGGCGGGAAAGCAGGGTTTGTGGGTCTGAAAAAGCTAAGCCAAAGGGGGGGGGGCAGAGATCCATGGCTCTCCAGATGCGGCTGCGGTGGTTCGCTCCTGACCCGGCGGATAGGAACGGGAGTCCCAACAGCATCTCGGGGCGGGGTTGGGCTCTATGTGATTGACCTGATAGCCTTGGAGATAAAAGAGGGGGGAAGAGGAAAAGTGGGGTTGTGCCTAGTGCGAGCTTAGTGTGTGTTTGGGGCCGGGCCTTCCGGGATACGGGCAGGGGGTGCTTCCCCCCTGAAAAGGCGACCCAAGGTGCGCTTGGCCCACGAGCTTCGGGGGTGGTGGTGGTTTGTGGGAAGCATGCTCCCCTTTCCGGCCGTGGGATGGGTGCTTTTGTCTCTTCTCCTTGATTGCATCATCCTGTGGCGCAGCAGGTGGACTAGAAACTGGATTCTGACCAGGAAGTGGAGCCTCCTGCTGCATGTCGGTGTTGGGCTCTTTTGCTTCGCTTAGGGGGTGCCTCTGTGTGAACACACAGACTCTTTTCTTCTGCCTTGTTGTGACCTTTCCAGAAGATGAGAGAACTCGGGGCATGATCCCACACCTGTTTACTTAGAAGCCTGTTCCCACTTCTGCGCACTATGTCATGTGGGAATGGTCTTACACTGAGACTGAATGTGGACAAGAACATTTTTAATGCCAAGGTTAATATTTATGTTACAGATCTAGGTGAACTGAAACCAGATAAACTATTGCAAGTGGAAATACTGTTAGTGTGAATTCTTGTACATCTTGTTTACATTAACATGAGGTGGAAAATGAAGGCAGGGGAAAGGCACTTTGAAATCAGAGTTTTTGGAGTTGTAACGGTTAGTGTGTGTAAGAGTTCAACAAGAAATACAGAACAGAACAAAAGCAAAAAGAGACCTCATGGCACTTTTTTTGGCTTTTGCTTTTGATACCAGAGTATCTTCTTGCCAAACTACTTTTAAATCCAAGTTACCCATGCGGGAATGGGAATGGAGAGGCTGAATTGAGAAATCATGTAATTCATGATGATAATTAGCCAAATGAGCCTCATTTTAGTCCCCATCTTGGTAGAAAGCTTACCTTTCCTTGGTGCGTAGTCATCAGAAACAGGATCTGCCTTAGCATTTTGAACAAGCTCACATTACGCATGGCTGGTGCAGATCCGATAGCTGAAGAGCAGAGACCTTTTCCAAGAGGGTTCAGGTCAGAGGTCAGAGATGTTGGATGTAGTTCCTAGTTGGCAAGATTCCAGAAATTCTTGGGGTTTTTCTTGAAGTAAGCCAGTTGCACAACTTTTCTCCCCCCCCCATTACAACAGGAGAATGATGATGTGAGAATGAACAGATATGATTGCCTTCTGTTGCTGCCAGCTGTCCATCTCCTCCCACCATCCTGAAAAAGTGATAGTAGATATTGTTTATCACACAATTTCTTTTCACAATTTTGTATGCCGGCTGTAGAATTTTAAAAGAAAAGGTACAAAACAGGTAAGCAGAGATCACTGGGGCTGGTGACTCTCAGGTGGCTGATTTAGACAGTAATCCTGGGCATATTTTCTGAGAAATAAGTCATCATGGTCTTTGAATGAACTTATCATATATGGTCTACAAGCAAATATTTATGTGGAAGGGAAGCTATTTTTAAAACTTCACACTACTTTTGAGGGAAAGCCATTGCAGATTCACCAATCAGCAATGACTGGCTCTTTTTCTATACCTGAATATTTTAGTGTGAGTCATCAGTTTTCTTAGCATTGTGGTTTCAACATAGGCACTTTCGTCAACTCTTGCTGTTGAAGTGCTCTTGTGGTTTACAGCCAGGTTGTATCCAATTCCTGCATTTCTGAAGATGCAAGGAACTGCAAAATGAACGTTCCTTAACACACTCTTCCAAAACTGCATCCTCAGAGATCTGCTATATACTGAAGCAATAGCAGTGAGTTCTCACTTGCATAGTCATACCTTCACTAACCTGAAGGAAGAGAAGGATTACACCTCCTGTTTTCCAATTTGGAAAAGTTTTTTTAAAAAATTACAACTCCCCCAGCCCCCACGATCACCGGAATTGCAGTCCAAGAAGGTAGTTCAGCTGAAAATGATGATTTGCTATGAGCATATAGAACTTTATGCTCATAGAATTTATACTCACATGTCATAATCCTGCTATCCTGCATGATACAATAGCAATGCATGCAGAGTCTGTTACATGGAGGCTGGAGGACTGGCATCATCCTACTTTCTTTCTATGCAAACAGTGAATGGATAGAACAAGCCTCTGCTTTCTTTCCTTATATAGTGAATTGAGCAGTTGGGTGCAAATGTAAGTAGAGATACCATGGCGGAAAGCAAACTAATTTGATTGGATTATTGGTTTGGACATCCTGGTGAAACTTTGTATACCATCTATGCATACTTAATTTTCAAAGAATAAAGGAGCCAAGTGTGATAGAATGTTCTGTACTGTACTGTTACTGCTACATCTGCACTAGGTATGTGTGTGGGGGAGAGAGGGAGAGAACCGAGGGAAGCAGGATTGGAAAAATTACTTTTTGAAACTACAGCTCTGACTGTTGCCAGGCTTTCTGTGAGAGTTCTAGTCTGAAAAGTAACTTATCATCTCTGGTATGTGGAAAGAATGACACCTACAGTATTTTGCTTTGTCAAGTGAAAGGATTTCTTAGTCTTTAACACTGTAAAAGCAAAAAGCAAATCCTAGCATGAATGAAAAAAGTAATAGACATTGGATGAAGCAATTGCATGAGGTTGCTGGAACATGTTTTATATGGTTAGCACAGCTGTTTAAGGGAATCTGTCCTGGGCATAATTTACTAAAGATGTAGTAGGTGGGGATTTAATTGCACATACCGATGGAGGCAATGATAGAAGAGACATCTTAGGCTGAAAGGTTCTGCATTTATTCCACCATCTCTTTCTTTCTGTCAGAAAAAGCAACTCTTTTTTTTTTGGCAGAAGTATGGAAGTGCTGTCAGTCTGCCAATGAGCATTAATATAGAAAATAATATAATTTTGATCTGTAAAATGATAATAACTGGTGTAATTATGTGTAAGGTTCTAACATGAAGTTATGGAAACAGCATGTTTCTTTTTGATAGCTGAGTCTTTTGATAAATGGTATGATTTTAAGGACCACTTCACAGTTTGCATAGTTTTGTTGATTTTACCCAGCAGTCAGATTTCAGCAACATTCTGCTTCCCTGCCTTAGTTGTTGTTGCATCACTGTTTAATAAATCAATTTCTTTCCTCTTCATCTTTGAAATTTTTGTAGCCATGTTTATGTATATAGACCTTTGCAAACAGAAACTACTTTGTGTTTAATTTGAGTATTTTTGCTTTAGGACTAGTATCATTGTACCTACAGAGGTCAGATGTTTTGCTATCCTCCCAACGTTACACTGCAAAAGCCATTTTCATTACTCAGTAACTGTTCCAAAGGGGACTGTATTGATCTTCCAACTTTCTCTTTCTACCCATAGATCAGTACATTTTTAGGTGAGCAGTTGGCTAATTTACTTCAACAAAGAAGGGAACTCTACATGCAGTTCATGTCTTTGCCCATGCAGAGCTATTTATTCTATCAAATGTGGCCTTTATAGGTGGGATATCTGTGCATGGGTTTGTGTGGATTCATTGTATATTTCTTGAAGATGGAAGAAGGGAACCCGAATTTATCAAATGCTTAGAAGTGACTTCCTTTGTATTGGGAATCTCCACCTTTGTGGTTCCTTTAGAGTGGTGTTTCCCAACTGAGGGAGGGCGGTCATGATCCACCTGAGAGGGCTCACAAAGTGTTTTCTGAGGGGGTCACAGGTCACCTTATATGTGTTGTAGCCCTTGTTGAAGAATTTCTTCCTTGTCCTTTCAGAGCAGGATATTAAAGTTAATGTGGATGTGTGAGAAACAGGAGAAAGGAAGCCTCTACTTTCTGGTATTACCCCATTAAACATGCCTTTTAATTCAAACATGGCTGTATGTGTGTGTTGCAGGTTACTTGGATATTATAAAAGGGGGTTATGACTTGAAAATTGTTAGGCAACATTGTGTTAGACCAACTTTCCCCAACCTGTATTTCTGGGAGTTGTAGTTCAAAACATCTGGAGGACATGAATTTAGAGAAGTTGCTTTATATCCTAATCCTCTCATAGCACAGGATGTCGTGGTGTGTTTAGGCTGACATGTTGAGGCAGGACTGAAAAGGACATCTGTCTGACTTCAGCATGAGGACATTGGGGACTTTCTGTTTGGTCCCAGACACCGGAGGAAGTGGCATCTGAGTGTATTTGGACATACATTTTAATCTACTAGGGCCTAGTGAAAGCATTCTGGTATTGCCTAATCATTGCTCAATACCCCATGGACAAGGTTCTTCGCAGTAAATTCATGCAAAACAGCTTTCCAAAACCAGCTCATTGTTTCCATTTCAAACAGATTGCAAGTCCTAATAGCAAGAAGCAAAATTAGTAAAATGCTGCAGATTTAATCTATGTAATTGAATCTTAATTCTGGAATTTGAGTTTCTTGGCTCCCCAAATAAACATCATATAGTTGTTGGGGAATTTGAGGAGAGCCTAGAGCATCATTGGATTGGTTGAAATATTTTCCCTTTGCCCACCTCAAGAATTGCTGAATGTTGGAGCTCATTTTGAAATATGTACGTTCTTCCAAGGGCCTTGTTAATTTGCCGTGTCAGAACTGCCTAGGGACTCCAGATTTTTTACATGATTCCCCATTTTCTCCTTCTCATCTAACATGTAGAGCAGGAACAAGGAAAAATAACATTGAAAGAGTAACTGTATATCCATCTTTCTGGCACTATGTAATTGGTTGCTCCACCCCAAATGTTCTTGGCACCTGGCTTTTGGCAAGCATCACATTGCATGGCCCATCAGTTCTAACTTGCCTTGTCTTCTAGACAAATCAAGTCCCTCTTGCCAACAGCTAGAC